TGAGTCAATATCGTGCCACTGCACTCCAGCCTGAGTGACAGAGCCAGACCCTGTCTCCAAAAAAAAAAATGGTGGATCCTTTCAAGGTTTTCGATTTACTTTGTCCAGATCCATTAGAGGAATCACTGGCAGCTATCATCTTAAGAAATTAAAATAAAAAATAAAAAAAGCTTTTTCCCACAGCTAAGAGTCACAACAAAATATTTCTTTTTTTTTTCTTTCTTTTTTTTTTTTTTTTTTTTTGTGAGACAGGGTCTCACTCTGTTGCCCAGGCTGGAGTACAGTGGTGTAATCATGGCTCACTGCAGCCTCAACCTCCCCAGGCTCAGGTAATCCTCTGCCTCAGCCTACAGAGTAGCTGATACTAAAGGCACAAACCACCACACCCAGCTAATTTTTTCTGTTTTTTTGTAGAGATGTTGTTTCATTAAAGTACTGAGATTACAGGTGTGAGCCACTGTGCCTGGCCTTATTTCTTAAATAAAAAGTCTTGAAAGTTGGGCTGCAGAATATGTTATGTTAACAGACATGAAAATAACATTAATCACCTTCAGAGCTCTTGGTTTACTGGGTGCATTGTCACTGAGCAGTAATATGTTTAAGGAATCCTTTTTTCTGAATAGTAGGTTTCAACAGTGGGCTTAAAATACTCAGTGAATACTCAGTAAGATATCATCTAAACAGATAAGCTGTTATCCAGGCTTTGTAGTTCCTTTTAGAGAGCACAGACATAGGCCAAGTGTGGCGGCTCACGCCTGTAATGCCAGCACTTCGGGAGGCCGAGGTGGGCGGATCACAAGGTCAGGAGATGGAGACCATCCTGGCTAACATGGTGAAACCTCGTCTCTACTAAAAATACAAAAAATTAGCCAGGTGTGGTGGCAGGCGCCTGTAGTCCCAGCTACTCAGGAGGCTGAGGCAGGAGAATGGTGTGAACCCGGGAGGCAGAGCTTGCAGTGATCCAAGATCACACCACTGCACTCCAGCCTGGGCGACAGAGAGAGGATCCGTCTCAAAAAAAAAAAAAAAAAAAAAGCTTCAGCTGAAGTCACCAGCAGCATTATCCCCTAACAAGAGAGTCGGCCGGGCGCGGTGGCTCAAGCCTGTAATCCCAGCACTTTGGAAGGCCGAGACGGGCGGATCACGAGGTCAGGAGATCGAGACCATCCTGGCTAACACGGTGAAACCCCGTCTCTACTAAAATACAAAAAAAATTAGCCGGGCGAGGTGGCGGGCGCCTGTACTCCCAGCTACTCGGGAGGCTGAGCCAGGAGAATGGCGTGAACCCGGGAGGTGGGGCTTGCAGTGAGCTGAGATCCGGCCACTGCACTCCAGCCTGGGCGACAGAGCCAGACTCCGTCTCAAAAAAAAAAAAACAGAGTCAGCCTGTCCTTTGAACCTTGAGGCCAGGCGTTGACTTCTGTCTAGCTGCAGAAGTCCTACATGGTATCTTCTTCCCATAGAAGGCTGTTTCTTCTACACTGAGAATCTGTTTAGTGTACACACTTTTCATCAATTATCTTAGCTAGATCTTCTGGATAACTTGGTACAGTTTCTATGTCAGCACTTGCTGCTGCTTCTTGCACTTTTATTTTATGAAGACAGTATCTTTCCTTAAACCTCATGAACCAGCCTCTGCTTTCTTCCAGCTTTTCACCTGCAGCTTCCTCACTTCTCTCAGCTTTCATAGAATTAAAGAGAGTTGGGGCCTTGCTCTGGATTAGGGATTGGCTTAAGGGAATGTTGTGGCTGGTTTGATCTTCTATCCAGACCTCTAAAACTGTCTCCATATGAGCAATAAGGCTGTCTTATCAGCCTTGCTTGTAGCACTTAATTTTCTTCAGGAACTTTTCCTTTGCATTCACCACTTGGCTATTGGTGCAAAAGGCCTGGCTTCTGGCCTATCCCAGCTTTTGACATGCCTTCCTCACTAAGCTTAATCACTTTAGCTTAGTGATTTAAAGTAAGAGATGTGTGACTCTTCCCTTAATTGAACACTGAGGCCATTGTAGGGTTACTAATTGGCCTAATTTCAGTATTGTTTTGTCTCAGGGAATAGGGAAGCCCAAGGAGAGGGAGGGAGGGGAATGGCTGGTCGTTGGAGCAGTCAACATACACAACATTTACTGATTAAGTTCACCATCTTACATGGGTGTGATTCTTGCACACCAAACATGTGGAAATTAAATAACACACTCCTAAATAATCAAAAGAACAAACACAACCCAACAGAGGCAGGCAGAATAAAATAATAAAGATTAGCATATAAATAAATAAATAAGAGAATAGAAAAATGAGAGAAAATGAACTAATCAAAAAGTTGGTTCTTCTAAAAGATCAACAAAATTGACAGACTTTTAGCTAGACCAACCAAGAAATAGAGAAGACTCAAAGTACTAAAATCAAGAAGGACATGACTACCAAATAGGAGGGGAAATGACTGCTTGTGGGTACAGGGTCCCTTTTAGGTGTAACAAAAATGTTTTGGCACAAGATAATGGTTATGATTATGATTACATAACCTTGTGGTTATGCTTAAAAAAAAAAAACCGCACTGAATTGTACACTTTTAAATGGTAGATTTTGGAGTATATTAATTATATCTCAGTTTCCAAGAAAGAAAGCAACTTGATTGCTATTTCTCCTTTCGATTTATTGACATTTCTTTTTTTAAAAGGGCGAAAAATCTTCTGTCTATTGAGTTGGACACTAAGTAGTGTTTATTTTGTTCTAGTTAGCATTCAGTCATCTTTTTTTTTTTTTTTTTTTTTAAGTAGAAAGCCCTAATTCATCAATAAATTGCACCCAAACTATTAGAAATCAAAATTTTTCTGTGTAAGCAGGCCCCAACAATTTTTCTGGGTAATAATCAATATTTTATTTAATGTCAATTATTAGAAGTTACAGTAGGTCGCCTGTCAGTAATACTTAGTAATTATTAGTGAGGTGGTATATTTTAAAGTTTAGAATGCCCTTTTGTTTTAAAAATTTTTTTTTTTTTTTTTTTTTTGAGACAGAGTCTTGCTCTGTCACCCAGGCTGGAGTGCAGTGGCCGGATCTCAGCTCACTGCAAGCTCCGCCTCCCGGGTTTACGCCATTCTCCTGCCTCAGCCTCCCGAGTAGCTGGGACTACAGGCGCCTGCCACCTCGCCCGGCTATTTTTTTTGTATTTTTTAGTAGAGACGGGGTTTCACCGTGTTAGCCGGGATCGTCTCTCGATCTCCTGACCTCGTGATCCGCCCGTCTCGGCCTCCCAAAGTGCTGGGATTACAGGCTTGAGCCACCGCGCCCAGCCCTTAAAATTTTTTTTTAATAGATATGGTGTCTCACTTTGTTGGCTAGTCTGGTCTCAAACTTCTGGCCTCAAGCAATCCTCCTGCTTTGGCCTTCCAGGAGTGCGGGGTTACAGTCGTGAGCCACCACGGTCAGCTGTTTTTTTAATTTTTATTTTTTCTTCTTCTTTTTTTTTGAAGATGGAGTCTCACTCTTGTACCCAGGCAGGAGTGCAGTAGCACAATCATAACTCACACACTGTGGCCTCAAACTCTCAGGCTCAAGTGATCCTCCTGCCTCAGCCTCCCAAGTTTTTTAGATGTCATTTTTCTGGGGTTTTTTTTTGTTTTGTTTTAAGACAAGTCTTGCTCTGACAACCAGGCTGGAGTATGGGCGCTGTCGTGGCTCACTGCAGCCTCAATCTCCCAGGCTCAAGCCATCCTCCCACCTTGGCCTCCCAAGTAGCTGGAACTATAGGAGCATACCACTATGCCTGGCTATAGTATAAAAAGTTTCATTAATTTGTCTGGGTGTGGTGGCTTACGCCTGTAATCCCAGCACTTTGGAAGGCCGAGGTGGGTGGATCATTTGAGGTCAGGAGTTCGAGACCAGCTTGGCCAACATGGTAAGACCCCATCTCTACTAAATATAAAGTTTCATTAATTCTGTGACATAAGTGGCCTCAAACTCCTCAGCTCAAGCTGGAGTATGCTTTGTTATTCCAGGAATCAGGGAAACTGAGGTACAGTAGTGGTTATTTTAAACTCAGCCAGCCAAGATAGATTTGGAGTATTAGATTTGGCCCCAGATCTTCTCATCATTCTAAGTTATTTTTTTTATTTATTATTTATTTTTTTATTATTTTTTTTTTTTTTTTTGAGACGGAGTCTCGCTCTGCCACCCAGGCTGGAGTGCAGTGGCCGGATCTCAGCTCACTGCAAGCTCCGCCTCCCGGGTTCACGCCATTCTCCTGCCTCAGCCTCCCGAGTAGCTGGGACTACAGGCGCCTGCCACCTTGCCCGGCTAGTTTTTTGTAGTTTTTAGTAGAGACGGGGTTTCACAGTGTCAGCCAGGATGGTCTCGATCTCCTGACCTCGTGATCCGCCCGTCTCGGCCTCCCAAAGTGCTGGGATTACAGGCTTGAGCCACCGCGCCCGGCCAGTTATTTATTTATTTATTTATTTTAATACCATATTACCATTTATGTTTTTTATCTTAAAACTAACATTATTTAAATTTTAAAAGAAAAATACTGTCCTAAAATGAGAGGTGAAGAAATTATAGAAGCCAGACTCTGTACTGTACTCCAAAATACCTTGCTCTAGGTGGCTGCAATAGCAAAATCCCATGAGGCCATATTTGGGCAACAAAGCCCTTTTTCTTCTTGCTCACCTCCCTTTTCAGCTACCTAATACCAGCATACAGATTGCTGAGTTTCTCCTTTAAAGATACTGACAGTATGGCCAAGATAGCCAGTAAAATAGAATTGGCTTTTAACAGAAGGATCAAGCTCCTGTGTGGGCTAATGTAGCAGTGGTTGAGTGGTGAAAGATAATATCCAAGAGGCTAGTCTCCCCTTATCTGCTATTCCTGCTTCAGCTTTCAAAGGCAGCAGTTAATGGCTTGGAGATGGGTTGAAGTGATAGGATTTACTTCAAATCACTATAGATTGTTTTTGTGATGATAGTTCATTGTACTGTAATTCTGTTGTCTTTCTGTGTACACAGGTTGAGAGCACCATTGGATGCTTACTTTCAGGTGAGCAGGACCCAGCCTGACTTGCCAGCTGCCACTTATGATTCAGAGACTAGGAATCCTGTGTCTGAAGACTTGCAGGTGTCTAGTAGTACTGATTCTGACAGTGACAGCTCTGCAGAGTATGGAGGGGTTGTTGACCAGGCAGAGGAATCTGGAGCTGTCATTTTAGAAGGTCAGTATTTTACCAGGTTTGGACTCACAAGGCTAACATCCCCAAAGCTTAAACTTCAGAAGGCTAGAAACTAGATTTGTGCTTTGACACTTTCCCTTTTCTCCCCTAAGTGTTGTGGATTCCTGTTTTGTAGAGCCTTCACTGGCCATAATTATATAGAGAGGATTTGATGTGACTTACAGCTTAATGTAATTTGTGACCCAGTGAGTCAGTCACTTTTTAATGGCATTTTATATTCTCTTTCACTTTTTTAGACATCTGAGAAAGTAAATTCTTTTTCTTTTTTTTTTTTTTTTTTTTTAATTTTTTGAGGCAAGGTCTGGCTCTGTCCCCCCAATGACAACTAGAGTGCAGCAACAACAATCTCACCTTACTGCAACCTCTACTTCTTGGGATCAAGCCATCCTCCCACCTCAGCCTCCCCACTAACTAGGACTACAGGCACACACCACCACACCTGGCTAATTTTTTAAATTTTTTTGTAGAGACAGGGTTTTTCCATGTTCCCCCAGCTGGTCGTAAACTCCTGAGCTCAAGAGATCCACCTGCCTCAGCCTCCCAAAGTGCTGGGATTACAGACATGAGCCACTGCACCCGGCCTAGATTCTTTATTTAAAAGTTTTGTAAGCCGGGCACGGTGGCTCAAGCCTGTAATCCCAGCACTTTGGGAGGCTGAGACGGGCGGATCACAAGGTCAGGAGATCGAGACCATTCTGGCTAACACGGTGAAACCCCGTCTCTACTAAAAAATACAAAAAACTAGCCGGGCGAGGTGGCGGGCGCCTATGGTCCCAGCTACTCCGGAGGCTGAGGCAGGAGAATGGCGTAAACCCGGGAGGCGGAGCTTGCAGTGAGCTGAGATCTGGCCACTGCACTCCAGCCTGGGCGACAGAGCCAGACTCAGTCTCAAAAAAAAAAAAAAAAAAAAAAAAAAAAAAGTTTTGTAAATTCAGCACCCTGTCTAGGCTAACACTTTGGAGTCCTAGTATAATGTTATGTGTTATGCAAGTGGAACTTTATTTAACAGTCGTAGGCAGAGACCCCTAAAGTAGATGTCCTGCTTATGTTAAAAAAGTTCTGATCCCCAGAGGGTGCTCATTCAGTATATTTTCCTACTGAAAGAATATTCTTGGATTATGAATTGAAATATAATAAATCAATGAAAATCTTTAAGTTCATATTTATATAATTTTCCAAAACCTCATTTATCACTATGGTAAGTTAGAACCCCAACTAATTACTCCAAAAACTAGTAAATAAAGGGTCAGGAATATATTAATATTTTGCCTTCCTGTATAAACTGTATTTCGGACAACCAGATAGTTGATGAAGGGGGTTTTTTTGTTGTTTTTTATTCACAGCTCACTGTAGCCTTGACCTCCTAGGCTAAAGTGATCCTCAGCCACCTGAGTAGCTAGGACTACATGTGTGTGCCACCACACCTGGCTAATTTTTTTTTTTTTTTTTTTGAGACGGAGTCTCGCTCTGCCGCCCAGGCTGGAGTGCAGTGGCCGGATCTCAGCTCACTGCAAGCTCCGCCTCCCGGGTTCACGCCATTCTCCTGCCTCAGCCTCCTGAGTAGTTGGGACTATAGGCGCCCGCCACCGCGCCCGGCTAGTTTTTTGTATTTTTTAGTAGAGACGGGGTTTCACCGTGTTAGCCAGGATGGTCTCGATCTCCTGACCTCGTGATCCGCCCGTCTCGGCCTCCCAAAGTGCTGGGATTACAGGCTTGAGCCACCGCGCCTGGCCTGGCTAATTTTTTTTTGTAGCTATGAGGTCTCCCTATGTTGTCCAGGCTTGAAGGTTTTGTTTTGTTTTTGTTTTTGTTTTTGTTTTTTTTTGAGACGGAGTCTCGCTCTGTCTCGCAGGCTGGAGTGCAGTGGTGCGATCTCCGCTCACTGCAAACTCTGTTGCCTCCCGGGTTCACGCCGTTCTCCTGCCTCAGCCTCCTGAGAAACTGGGACTACAGGCGCCCGCCACCATGCCCGGCTAATTTTTTTGTATTTTTAGTAGAGATGGGGTTTCACCGTGTTCGCCAGGATGGTCTTGATCTCCTGACCTCGTGATCCGCCCACCTTGGACTTCCAAAGTGCTGGGATTACAGGTGTGAGCCACCGCGCCCGGCTGAAGGTTTTTTTAATAGAAAAATTTCAGCTAATTGCAGCAGGAACGATAGAAAAGTCATCATTTTGTGACTCCTGATGAAATTATATGTCTAGGCAAAGATCATCAGTGGATCCTAAAACCATTAGGTTGCAGGGTTGATGGGATTCTTTTTAATACAAGGACCAGGATGATACCACCTGAACCCGTTGGTCAACCTTAGCATCTCAAATAAATAGGATAGCAAGACCATATGTGCCTCTTAATGTGCTGCAATCAGAAATACTCATGCCACTTAGGAATACTGTACACACACACACACACACACACACACCAGTCCCCCACCCCCCATGCCAAAAAAAAAAAAAAACCCTGAACACACACACACACACACACACACACACACCAGTCCCCCACCCCCCATGCCAAAAAAAAAAAAACCCTGAATCTGCTCAAGACTCTTTTCTAACAACCAGTTTGCATAGTTTGTAGAAAAAGGGGTGGAGGAACAAGATAATACCTCAGAGATGTAATCATTTAAATTAAAAATGTAGAACAGTCTACAAATGGAACATCTTTCTAGACCTGAATGTATATGGAAATTTAACATATTGTGAAGAGAATATCTCAAATCCGTGTGGACAATTTTTAATGTTTTATATAACAGCAAACCAACATAGTTTATGATTCCACTTACGTAAAATGTCCAGAAAAGGCAGATCTACAGAGACAATATTAGTGGTTGCCTGGGGCTGCAGGCGCAAATGTGAAGTGACTCTAAATGGGCATAAAGGATCTTTGTGGGCTGATAGAAATATTTTAAATTGGGTTATGGTGATGGTTGCACAATGCTCAATTTATTGTATATAAAAGTTAAACAATTTCATGAAGAAGCAATCAGCCAAATCCAGGTTGTGCAGGACTTTTCATAAGACAAATGACCTGACGAATGACAGAGGGGAAAAAATGGATGAGGGGGAATTGTAATAAAATGAAAAAGACATAAGAGACATCACAAGCTCATCATGGAGACCTTTTTTGGATTCTGATTGCAATAAATCTGTAGAGAGCAGCTTTAAAACTATCGGGAAATTTTTTGGGAGGCTGGGGCGGGCGGATCACAAGGTCAGGAGATTGAGACCATCCTGGCTAACATGGTGAAACCCCGTCTCTACTAAAAATACAAAAAATTAGCTGGGCCTGGCAGCGTGCATCTGTAGTCCCAGCTACTCAGGAGGCTGAGGCAGGAGAAAACTGTTAGGAAATTTTGAATATGAACTGGATGCCTGGGTATTCAGTGGTATTGGAGGATTATTGTTAATATTGTTAGGTATAATAATTACACAGTGTTCATGTCAAAAAAGAAAAAAAATTCTTGTCAGTGTTGCAGAAGTTTTTGCAAGTATAATGACATTTTAAGGTTTGTTAAGGATTCCAACCAAAAGAAAATAATGGAATGGGGGCTTAGGTGGAACAAGATTGGCAAAATATTGATTATTTTTTAAATTGAGTGATGGGTACTTGTGGCTTAACTGTACTTTTCTGTCTACTTTTATGTATGTTTGAGAATATTCAAACTAAATTTTTAAAAGTAAATTCACTGATGGACCTGGGGAAATTGTTATCCCTTTTGCAGGAACACTGTCAATTAGAAATGGGAAACTAGTGAGTCAGGCTCTCTCCTGCTAGCTTCTAATACCTGACATATCTTACTTTGTATTTTACCTATCCTATCATTTCTGGAAATGACTTGGCAGAGCAACTAGCAGGTGTCTCAGCAGAGCAAGAAGTTACATGTATCGATGGAGGCAAGACCCTCCCCAAACAGGTAATATGAACATCATTTTATTTTTATTTTATTTTATTTTTTTAGAGACTAGGTCTCACTCTCACCTAGTCTAGAGTGCAGTGATGCAATCATAACTCCCTGTAGCTTCAAACTCCTGGACTCAAGGGATCCTCCCACTTCAGCCTCCTGAATAGCTGGAACTACAGGTAATGCCACCACACTCGGCTAAATTTTTTGTTTTTTGTAGACAGAGTCTCACTATATTATCTAGCTGGTTTCGAACTCCTGGGCGCAAGGGATCGTCCTGCCTCAGCCTCCCAAACCATTGAGATTGTAGGCATGAGCCACCATGCCCAACCTGAATATCCTTTTTTTTTTTTTTTTTTTTTTTTTTTTGAGACGGACTCTCGCTCTGTTGCCCAGGGTGGAGTGCAGTGGTGCGATCTTGGCTCACCACAATCTCCACCTCCCGGGTTGAAGCAATTCTCCTACCTCAGCTTCCCGAGCAGCTGGGACTACAGGCACGCGCCACCACGCCCAGCTAATTTTTGTATTTTAAGTGGAAATGGGGTTTCACCATAGTGGCCAGACTGGTCTTGAACTCCTGACCTCATGATCCACCCACCTCGGCCTCCCAAAGTGCTGGGATTACAGGTGTGAGCCACCATGCCTGGCCTCTGAATATCCTTTTAAATAAAAGGTTTGGGGTTTTGGCCGGGCACAGTGGCTTACACTTGTAATCCCAGCACTTTGGGAGGCCGAGGCAGGCGGATCACCTGAAGTCGGGAGTTTGAGACCAGCCTGGCCAACATGGTGAAACTTGGTCTCTACCGAAAAGGTCGGGGGGGCTGCAGGTTAACATGGAAGCTTGCAGGCTTTGTAGGCAAGAAGTCCAGGTGTGGATCCTATCCCAGTTACTCATTGTTTGTGTAACTGCTGTCTCTTAGATTTAAAAATGGGTAGGGAGGAGTATTGAGAATAATCTGTCCTGTCTAGCCAACAAGGTTAAGTACCAGTTGAAACAACAGACATAAATGTGCTTTATAAATTATTAAGCCCATTCGCCAGGTGTGGCATGCACCTGTAGTCCTAGCTACTTAGGGAGGCTGAGGCAGGATTGCTTGATCCTGGAAGGTCAAGGCTTCAGTGAGCCATGATGACAACACTGCACTCCAGGGCAACAGAGTAGGACCCTGTCTCAATAAAAAAATTAAAATTAAAAAAAACTATCAGGCAGAATATGTTTAGTAAGTGATAATTTTTTATTTTTAAAAATAATGGGCTGGGCGCGGTGGCTCATGCCTATAATCCCAGCACTGTGGGAGGCCGAGGCGGGCAAATCACCTGAGGTCGGGAGTTCAAGACCAGCCTGGCCAACATGGCGAAACCCCATCTCTACTAAAAATATAAAACTTAGCTGGGTGTGATGGCACGCACCTATAATTGCAGCTACTCAAGGAGGCTGAGATAGGAGAATCGCTTGAACCTGGGAAGCAGAGGTTGCAGTGAGCCCAGATCGCGCCACTGAGCTCCACCTTGGGAGACCGAGCAATACTTTGGCTCAAAAAATAATAATAATAATAATAATCTTGGCTGGGCGCAGTGGCTCACACCTGTAATCCCAGCACTGTGGGAAGCCAAAGTGGGTACATCACCTGAGGACAGGAGTTTGAGACCAGCCTGGCCAACATGGTGAAACCCCATCTCTACTAAATACAAAAAGTAGCCGGATATGGTGGCGTGTGCCTGTAGTCCCAGCTAGTCGGGAAGGTGAGACAGGAGAATCGCTTGAATCCGGGAGGCAGAGGTTGCGTTGAGCGGAGTTCATGCCACTGCATTCCAGCCTGGGTAACAGAGCGAGACTCCATCTCAAAAAAAAAATAAAATAACACCTATACATCATTGTCCTCAATATGATTTATTTACATCTGCTCTGAATTTTGCCAATCTCAAAACATCATTTATCTACATTTTGCATATTTTTATATGCTCTTTGCGTTTTTATTTGAGTCTGGCTCATTTTTCCCAGCTTCTTACATCTTGGAGAGCTTTCTGTTATCAGTACATAAAATTGAATCTTTTTTTTTTTTTTTTTTTTTGAGACGGAGTCTCGCTCTGTTGCCCAGGCTGGACTGCAGCGACGTGATCTCGGCTCACTGCAAGCTCTGCCTCCTGGGTTCATGCCATTCTCCTGCCTCAGCCTCCTGTAGCTGGGACTACAGGTGCCTGCTACCACGCCCGGCTAATTTTTTGTTTTTTATTTTTTTAAGTAGAGATGGGGTTTCACACTGTTAGCCAGGATGGTCTTGATTTCCTGACTTCGTGATCTGCCCGCCTCGGCCTCCCAAAGTGCTGGGATTACAGGCATGAGCCACCATGCCTAGCCTAATCTTGTTCTTATTAATAGATACATGGCATTCCGTCATACAAATACATTTTGAATTAATTTTTTCTTTTTTTTTTTTGAAACGGAGTCTCGCTCTGTTGCCAGGCTGGAGTACAGTGGTGCAATCTCGGCTCACTGCAACCTCCGCCTCCCAAGTTCAGGTGATTCCCCTGCCTCAGCCTCCTGAGCAGCTGGCACTACAGGCACACACCGTCACACCCGGCTAATTTTTTTGTATTTTAGTAGAAACGGGGTTTCACCATGTCGGCCTGGATGGTCTCAATCTCCTGACCTCGTGATCTGCCTGCCTGGGCCTCCCAAAGTTCTGGGATTACAGGCATGAGCCACTGCGCCCAATGAATTAATTCTTTTCTTATCATATAAAGCATGGTTTGGTGTATGGTGGCACACGCCTGTGTTGTCTCAACTACTTTGGAGGGTAATAATACTTTTTTTCTTGATAGAAATCATGCTCCACTGAACTTTTTTGAGACAGGGTCTCATTCTGTCCCTTATGCCGGAGTGCAGTGGCACAATCATAACTCACTGCAGCCTCAGTATCCGTGGCTCAGGTGATGCTTCTACCTCAGCCTCCTGACTGCTTGGGACTACAGTCATGTGCCACCACACATGGCTACTTTTTTAAATTTTTAACAGAGACAAGGTTTTGCTATGTTGTCCAGTCTGGTTTCAAACTCCTGAGCTGAAGCAATCCTCCTGCTTTGGCCTCCCAATGAGCTGGGACTATAGGCGTGAATTACCACACCTGGCCTGCTTGGAACAATCTTATATAATTATCTTAGAAAATAATTGAGCCGGGTGTGGTGGCTCAAGCCTGTAATCCCAGCACTTTGGGAGGCCGAGACGGGCGGATCACGGGGTCAGGAGATCGAGACCATCCTGGCTAATACGGTGAAACCCCATCTCTACTAAAAAATACAAAAAAAAAAAAAAACTACCCGGGCGAGGTGGCGCACGCCTGTAGTCCCAACTACTCGGGAGGCTGAGGCAGGAGAATGGTATAAACCTGGGAGGCGGAGCTTGCAGTGAGCTGAGATCCGGCCACTGCACTCCAGCCTGGGCGACAGAGCAAGACTCCGTCTCACAAAAAAGAAAAAAAACGAAAATAATTGTGACTGACCATGTGTGGTTGCTCATGCCTGTAATCCCTGCACTTTGAGGGATGGATCATGATTGAGGTGGGTGGATCATGAGGTAGGAGATCGAGACTATCCTGGCTAACACTGTGAAACCCCGTCTCTACTAAAAATACAAAAAATCAGGTGTAGTGGCGGGCACCTGTAGTCCCAGCTACTCGGGAGGCTGAGGCAGGAGAATGGCGTGAACCCCGGAGGTGGAGCTTGCATTGAGCTGAGTTGGCGCCACTGCACTCCAGCCTGGGCGACAGAGTGAGACTGTGTCTCAAAAAAAAAAAAAGAAAATATTTGTGACTATGATCATGGGCTGCATAATAGTTCAGTCAACAACAGACCACATGTATGATGGTTGTCCCATTAGGTTATAATACCAGGTTGGGTGCAGTGGCTCACACTTGTAATCCCAGCCTTTGGGAGACCAAGGTGGTCGGATCACTTGAGGTCAGGAGTTCAAGACCAGCCTGGCCAATGTGGTGAAACCCTGTCCCTACTAAAAATACAAAAATTAACCAGGCGTGGTGGTTCGTGCCTATAATCCCAGCTATTTGGGAGGCTGAGGCAAGAGAATCACTTGAACCCAGGAGGCAGAGGTTACAGTGAGCCACGATCTTGCACCACTGCACTCCAGCCTGGGCGACAAAACGAGACTCTGTCTTAAAAAAAAAAAAATACCATATTTTTATTGTGCCTTTTCTATGTTTAGATACACAGATACCACTGTGCTACAGTTGCCTGCAGTATTTGGTACAGTAACATGCTGTACAGGTTTGTTGCCTAAGTATATAATAGTTGACACAGTCTAGGTTTGTTTAAGTACTTCTGGGATCATTCAATGACGAAATCGCCTAAAGATGCATTTCTCAGAATGTATTCCTGTTGTCAAGCAATGCATGACTGTATATCCATGAGATACCTCTAGCAGAGAGATTGCTATGCCAAAGGAAAGATATATGTGTTTTAATTTCCATGGATAATGCCAAATACTGCTCCAGAAATCTGTGCCGCTTTATATGTAAGGAAGCAGTATATAAGCATGTCCATTTCTCGTTTACCCTCAGCAGTTATTGGTGTCATCAGACGTTAATTTATACCAGTCTAATAGATGAAAAATGGTCTCTTTAATTTGCATTTCTTTAATTATAAGCAAACACTTATTGACCATTGTGTTTTCTTGTAAGCATTTGTATCCTTTCTTTGTTTTCTTTTTTTTCCTCTGATACACATAAGCTAAATATTTTATAGCTGCTATTCTTTATATGATAGCTGCTTTTCTTCCTTTGAGTGAAGGAAAAAGTATCCAAGAATTTTATAAGATTAAAGAGTAGCATAGTTTTCATAGCTTATATTTTGCCACATTGCATCCTAGAAAGAATGACAAGTGATTCATAGGTGTTACAAGTTTTCTGTAGCCCTTTTAATTGTTTGTATCTCTTTTTTCTACTTTTGTTAACTTGTTAGTTGCACATCTTCTTCAAGATTGATTTTACAGGCCGGGCGCGGTGGCTCAAGCCTGTAATCCCAGCACTTTGGGAGGCCGAGACGGGCGGATCACGAGGTCAGGAGATCGAGACCATCCTGGCTAACACGGTGAAACCCCGTCTCCACTAAAAAATACAAAAAAACTAGCCGGGCGAAGTGGCGGGCGCCTGTAGTCCCAGCTACTCGGGAGGCTGAGGCAGGAGAATGGCGTGGACCCGGGAGGCGGAGCTTGCAGTGAGCTGAGATCGGGCCACTGCACTCCAGCCTGGGAGACAGAGCAAGACTCCGTCTCAAAAAAAAGAAGATTGATTTTACATTTTCTCTAATTTGAATATATTCTGGTTTCCATCTAGCCATCTCCCCAGAAGTCTGAGCCTCTGCTACCTTCTGCCTCTGTGGATGAGGAAGAAGGGGACACTTGTACAATATGTCTGGAACAGTGGACCAGTGCTGGAGACCACCGGCTCTCAGCATTACGCTGTGGTCATCTCTTTGGGTATAGTTGCATTTCCACGTGGCTCAAAGGACAAGTACGAAAATGTCCCCAGGTAAGGTCCATAGGTAAGGACACATTAACATGTTAAGTCAGGCAGATTCCTAGAACCACTCTAATTATGTCCTATTGGGTTCTTTAGTGCAACAAGAAAGCCAGGCACAGTGACATTGTCGTCCTTTATGCCCGAACCCTGAGAGCTTTGGACACTAGTGAACAGGAGCGCATGAAAAGGTAGGTGGTGAGAGTATGCCTGACTGGAATGTTCCGTTTTGGTTCATTGTAGGCACATTTGAAAAACGAGGTATGAGTCACTCGTAGTGAGGTTTTACTTGACCTGTGACTTGGGATCTCTGGGGATCATTGACAGTATGTTTTAACGCTGTTATTTATAATTCATGTCTGATCATCTTCTTAAGGAAGTCTGCATCGTTGGCCTTACATAGAGCATTAAACACAAGGATCTGGCACATTACTTAACTGTTGCCATTTTTGCTTCTCATATCCCTGAGCCCCCCACAGCAGTTCTCCATACAGAAGACTCATAAGTGAAGCTTTGCACATGCTGTGCAATGTAAAAAATTACCAGGATTTTGGAAACACATAAACAGTTGCTAGTAACACCAGTCAGTATATGCTTCAAAAATATTGAAGAACATACACACCATTGAGAAAGGTGCAGGGACATGGGTTCTCTCACACTTTACTGGTTAGGCAAAGTCATTTTGAGACATCCTTGGAAATGTGTCTCTAAAGCCTTTGATCTCGTAATAATTGTTCAGGCATTTGTTCTAAAGAAGCATTGAAGAGTGTGTACAAAGATTTACTTAATGAAACTTCATTTAGCATTGTTAAAAATCTAAGGCAAGGGGATTGCTTAGTTGAGTGAATGGTGGTGTGTGCATGAACAGAATACTATACAATGTTGAAATGTGCGTATGTTGTCCTGTGGAAACATGTTATTAGTGTCATTGCATTTTTGTGAACTAGAAAAAGAAAATACAGCTGGTGCAGTGGCTCACTCTTGTAATCCCAGCACTTTGGGAGGCCAAGGCGAAAGGATTGCTTAAGGCGGGGAGTTCAAGACCAACCTGGCCAACATAGTGAGATCCTGTCTCTATTTAAAAATTTTTTTTAAAGAAAGAAAAAAAATACTATAGGTAGTCACTGTACAGATTACTTTAATTTTCTTCCTTGTTTTTACTCATTTGATCCAACCAGTACTCACTTGTAGCATTTTTAAATAATGGAAGGTGTGTACAGAGTGAAATTTTTTTTTTTTTTTTTTTTTTTTTTTTTTTTTTTTTTTTTTTTTTTTTTGAGGCGGAGTCTTGCTCTGTCGCCCAGGCTGGAGTGCAGTGGCCGGATCTCAGCTCACTGCAAGCTCCGCCTCCCGGGTTCCCGCCATTCTCCTGCCTCAGCCTCCCGTGTAGCTGGGACTACAGGCGCCGCCACCACGCCCGGCTAATTTTTTGTATTTTTAGTAGAGACGGGGTTTCACTGTGTTAGCCAGGATGGTCTCGATCTCCTGACCTCGTGATCCGCCCGTCTCGGCCTCGAAATTTTGTTGAAAAGGCAAAATCTATAGATGTGGCTGTTAAGGGTGATTGTATTTAAAAACAATCCACTGATTACTGATAAGCTGTTAGTATACTCTCCAGCCTCATTAGAAAAAGTAAGGAATTTCAAAATGCCAATACAGACTAATAAAACGAACAGCCTTGTACCCAGTTTTATCAAATCTTAATATTTTACCATATTGCTTTGAGCCTTTTTGAAAAGAAATAGGCTGGGTGTAGTGGCTCATGCCTGTAATCCCAGCACTTTGGAAGGCCGAGGCAGGAGGATTGCTTGAGACCAGGAGTTTGGGACCAGCATGGGCAACATTGTGAGACCTTGTCTCTAGTAAAAATGAAAAAAATTAGCCGTATGTAGTGGTACACACCTGTAGTCTCAGCTACTTAGGAGAGAGGATTTCTTGAGCCCAGGAGGTTGTGGCTGAGCTGTGGTTATGCCATTGCACTGTAGCCTGGGTGACAGAGCAAGACCCTGTATCATAAAAGTAAAAATAAAGATAAATCTGTTGACTAGGTCAGACCTAAGAAGGAAAAAAAGGAAAGAAAATTTTAAAGAAGTAGTAAATTATAGATTCAGTAGAAGGGCCAGGCACGGTGGCTCATGCTTGTAATCCTAGCACTCTGGGAGGCTGAGGTGGGCAGATTGCCTGAGCTCAGGAGTTTGAGACCAGCCTGAGCAACATGGCAAAACCCTGTCTTTACTAAAAATACAAAAAGTTATCTGGATGTGGTGGTGCATGCCTGTAATCCCAGCAAATCAGGAGGCTGAGGCACGAGAAACGCTTGAACCTGGGAGGCGGAGGTTACTGTGAGCCGAGATTGTGCCACTGCACTCCAGCCTGGGCGACAGAGCAAGACTCGCTCAAAAAGAAAAAGAAAAAGGTACACTAGAATTCCATAGAGAACTACTTTCGTGAATTAGGTGTTCATCATTCCCAAGAGTGATTCTGTGTTTGATTAGCTATATTTGTATTTGTAAATTATACATAGTATGATATAGAAAGTTTTGTTTGGGTTTTTGGTTTGTTTGTTTTGAGATGGAGTTTTGCTCTTGTTGCCCAGGCTAGAGTGCAATGGTGTGATCTTGGCTCACTGCAACTTCTCGCCTCCCAGGTTCAAGCGATTCTCCTGCCTCAGTCTCCCAAGTAGCTGGGATTATAGGCGCCCACCACCATGCCCAGCTAATTTTTTTTGTATTTTTAGTAGAGATGGGGTGTCACCATGTTGGTCAGGCTGGTCTGGAACTCCTGACCTTGTGATCAACCCACCTCGGACTCCCAAAGTGCTGAGATTATAGGCGTGAGGCACCACACCCGTCCAGAAAGTTTTTATACTTTATGCAAATGTTAGTTTATAATTTTTTTCTTCTGTAGCTTGCTTTTTTGCTTAATATTATGCTTTGGGAGTGTGTCCTAGTTGATCCATGGGGCTCTCTTTTTTTTTCTTTTCATTTCAATTTCTTGATAATATTCTAGTTCCCTAGTCAAAATTAATCTGTTTAGGCCAGGCGTAGTGGCTCACACCTGTAATCCCAGCACTTTGGGGGGCTGAGGTGGGCAGATCATCTGAGTTCAGGAGTTCGAGACCAGCCTGGCCAACATGGAGAAACCCCATTTCTACTAAAAATAGAAAAAATTAGCTGGGCATGGTGGCATGCACCTGTAGTCCTAGCTACTCGGGAGACTGAGGCAGGAGGATAGCTTGAACCCAGGAGACCGAGGTTTCAGTGAACCGAGATCGCACCATTGCGCTCCTGCTTGGGCAACAATAGCGAAACTCTTGTCTCAAAAAAAAAAATTATCTGATTGTATTTTACATTGGTAGACATTTAGGTTGTCTCCACTTGTTAACATTAGCCATGCTGCAGAGAGACAGGTCTAGCAATGGAATTGCTTTATTATAAAGCACATTTAATTTCTGCTTTACCTAAATATTGTCAAATTATTCTTCTAACTTAAACTTTTCTTGTTTAAAAAAACATGAGAGATTTCTCATTTTTTCATACCTTTGTGAATTTTATTTATTTATTTACTTTGAGACAGAGTCTCGCTCTGTCTCACAGGCTGGAGTGCAGTGGCGCAATCTCAGCTCATTGCAACCTCCGCCTCCTGGGTTTAAGTGATTCTCCTGCCTCAGCCTTATGAGTCGCCGCGACTATAGGGCATGCCACCACGCCTGGCTAATTTTTTGTATTTTTAATAGAGATGGGGTTTCACCATCTTGGCCAGGCTGGTCTTGAACTCTTGACCTCATAATCCACCCACCTCTGCCTCCCAAAGTGCTGGGATTACAGGCGTGAGCTACCACGCCCGGCCAAAAAGAATTTTTTTTTTAAGACAGGGTCTTGCTCTGTCACAAAGGCCAGAGTGCAGTGGCGCCATCAAACTCCTAGGCTCAAGCAGTTCCCCAGCCTTAGCATCCCATGTAGCTGGAAGTACAGGCACATGCCACCACACCTGACTCATAATTTACTAAGTAGTATATTTTTCTGTAGAAATTTTCATTGCTACTTCTATCCTTAATTAAGTTTCCAGCTGGGTGCATTGGCTCACGCCTGTAATCCCAGTACTTTGGGAGGCCGAGGCGGGCAGATCACGAGGTCAAAAGTTCGAGACCAGCCTGACCAACATGGTGAAACCCTGTCTCTACTAAGAATACAAGAATTAGCTGGGCGTGGTGGCACACACCTGTAATCCCAGCTACTCGGGAGGCGGAGGCAGGAGAATCGCTTGAAACCGGGAGGAGGCGGAGGTTGCAGTGAGCCGAGATCACGCCACTGCACTCCAGCCTGGGCAACAGAGAGAGATTTCATTTAAAAAAAAAAAAAAAATTAAGTTTCCATGTATGAATGGGCTACAGTAGTCCCCTGTTAGCCACAAGGAATACATTCCAGGAGCCCCCAGTGAATGCCTGAAACCAGTGTATGTTTTTTCCTATACATACAAACCTAAAGGTTAATTTATAAATTAGGAACAGTAAGAGATTAACAACAATAAATAATAATAAAATAAAGCAATTATACCAATATACTAATAAGTTATGTGAATGTGTTCTTAATCTCTCTCTCAACATATCTCAAGTTTTGTGGCTTGTGGTTGATCACAGATACCGAAAACCGTGGAAAATGAAACTAGATAAGGGGACACTACTGTACTCTTTTGTTCCACGGTCTTTTTGTTAATTCTTTCTCCAATGTTCCAAGTTATAATTTATTGTAGCTTTAATATATGTCACCCCACTTTGTTCTGCAAAAGTGCTTTGTTCTGCAAAAGGTTTTTTTGCTATTTTTGTCATTGTTCTTCATATTAATTTTTAAAAATTAATTTGTTAAGTTCCATGAAAAAACTTTGGGATGTTGATTGAAATTGCATTAAAAAATTATTGTGGAGTAACTTGAGAAGTACCATATTTGTGATAGTGAGTCTTTTCAGTCATGAACTTTATGTAATATCCTTCCATTTATTTACTGTTTTCTTGTGTCTTTCACAAGTATTTTGCTTCATAAAGGTCCTACCTAGCCTTTTACTTTACATAATGACCTTTGGGTCAATGACAGATTATATACACGATGGTGGCCCCCTAAGATTATAATGGAACTGAAAATTCTGTTACGTAAGTGATGTCGTAATCATTGAAATGTCTTAGCGCGCCGGGCGTGGTGGCTCACACCTGTAATCCCAGCACTTTGGGAGGCCGAGGCAGGTGGATCACTTGAGGCCAGGAGTTTGAGAACAGCCTGGGCAACATGGTGAAACCTTGTCTCTACTAAAAATGTAAAAATTAGCTGGGCATGGTGGCAGGCGCTTGTCATCTCAGTTGCTCGGGAGGCTGAGGCAAGGGAATCTCTTGAACCCGGGGGCGAATGTAGCAGTGAGCCTGGATCACGCCACTGCACTCCAGCCTGGGCAACGGAGCGAGACTCAGGCAAAAAAAAAAAAAAAAAAAATCTTACCTCAATGCATTACCTTTTCTGTGTTTAGATACATAAGTACCATTATATTACAGTTGCCTATAGTATTCAGATTCAGTATGGTAACATACTATACACGTTTGTAGCCTGGGAGCAGCAGTATATAGCTTAGGTGTGTAGTAGGCTATACTGTATAGGTTTTTGTAAGTACATTCTGTAATGTTCACATGACGAAATCGCCTAACAACACATTTCTCAGAACATGCCCGCATCATTAAGCTGCACGTGACTCTATTTCTAGATTGCTGTTAAAATTGTTGTGAATAAAATTTTCTAACTTACATTTACTAATCAGTTATCTGATATGGGGACTGCTGTTTATCTAATCTTTTTGGTCTTGAGTCCAGCAGCCTTGCTAAACTGTAATCATTTGTGGGTTCTCTTAAATTTGCCGTAAAAATTAATAAGGGCAGCTTTATCTCTTCTAATTTTCATGTCTTTTTCTTGCATATCTTACTGGAATGGAATTCTGTCTTTGCATTTCATATTTTGAGACTTTTTAGGTACATACAAATGTGTATGACTGTTATTCTTTGTTATTCTTGGTGATTGTGTCCTTTTATGATGCATTGTTCCTCGTTATGCCTTTTTTTTTTTTTTTTTTTTGTGACGGAGTCTTGCTCTGTCGCCCAGGCTGGACTGCAGTGGCCGGATCTCAGCTCACTGCAAGCTCCGCCTCCCGGGTTCAAGCCATTCTCCTGCCTCAGCCTCCCGAGTAGCTGAGACTACAGGCGCCCGCCACCTCGCCTGGCTAGTTTTTTGTATTTTTTAGTAGAGACGGGGTTTCACCGTGTCAGCCAGGATGGTCTCGATCTCCTGACCTTGTGATCCGCCCATCTCGGCCTCCCAAAGTGCTGGGATTACAGGCTTGAGCCACCGCGCCTGGCCTCGTTATGCCTATTTATGCTTTTTCATTAATTCTAATTGGTCTTTCTTTCGTTAGCATTCGCTTGATGTCTACTTTTGCTCTTTTTTTAACTTCACATTCTTTTTTGGGTTATATTATTTGAGTATCATGAACAACCAACAGCTTACTGTTTTCTTTTTAATCCAGTAACCTTGGCCTTTTAACATGTCAGTTTAATCTTTTATAATTTGCCTTAGCTAAACACTAGATTAGCTCTGTTCTCTCGTTTTGCCTGTGGCATTTTTAGTCGTAGTCAAATTTTCTAGTAGTAGTCAGATTCCTGACCATCAGTCCCTGCTTACCCCAAAATCTGTCTCTGGAGAGATTTTTCTCTTTTTATGTTTTATTCACTATCATAACATATTTACAGCAAAGAATATGCATCATAGCATGAACTTTGTTCTGCCATCTTGATGGGAAGTCTTCTGTAGCCTTCCTAATCCCCAGTTGTTGCTGGCTTCCCCCCCCTAGTTCCCTACTGAAGGAACAGATGCTAAGGAAGCAGGCCGAGTTAGAATCAGCACAGTGCCGACTCCAACTGCAGGTCCTCACTGATGAGTGCACTAGGCTTCAAAGCCGTGTTCAGGTATGTTTATCCTTTCTAACCCAAATAACTTTTGGAATAGGAATGGAAGAGGAATCTAAATGCTACTTATGTTCATCTCAGAAATAAATAGGATTTGCCAAGTTATTTAGGAAATAAACATGACCAACTGCTTATTTTATTTCTGATTAGGGCATCTGTTCAAAACTTACTACACACTTTATAATGAAATCTACTATAGTCTGAATTTTATTTTTATTTTTTTATTTTTTTGAGATAGAGTCTTACTCTGTCATCTAGGCTGGAGTGCAGTGATGTGATCTTGGCTCACTGCAACCTCTGCCTCCTGGGTTCAAGCGGTTCTCCTGCCTCAGTCTCAGCATTTCAAGGAGCTGGGATTACAGGCGCCCACCACCATGCCCACTTAATTTTTGTACTTTTAGTAGTGACAGGGTTTCACTATGTTGGCCGGGCTAGTCTCGAACTCCTGACCTCAGGTGATCCACCCGCCTTGGCTTCCCAAAGTGCTGGGATTACAGGCGTAAGCACTGCACCTGGCCTTACAGTCTGAATTTTAGAAAAAATTAAATAGCTAACCAAGAATTCCAAACTTGTTTAAGTAAATCTACCAATAAAATGAGGGCTTTACCAGGAGTTTGAAGGTTACAGTGAGCTGTGATCGCACTACTGCACTCCAGCCTGGATGCCATGGATGACGGAGTGAGACCCTGTCTGCTTTTTTTTTTTTTTTTAAATGGCTTTAAACAAAACCATCATTAAGGACTTTCAACCCTCATATTATGATTCTGTGCTCTCCTTTTTTCACTTGTTGACATACTGTAAAAAATCAGCAGTTCTGGCCAGGTGTGGTGGCTTACGCCTATAATCCCAGCACTTTGGGAGGCCAAGGCGGATGGATCACCTGAGGTCAGGAGTTCAAGACCAGTCTGGCCAACATGGTGAAACCCCATCTCTACTAAAAATATTTAAAAATTGGCTGGGTATGGTAGTGGGCAACTGTAATCCCAGCTACTCAGGAGGCTGAGGCAGAAGGGCCTGAACCCAGGAGATGGAGGTTGCAATGAGCCAACATGGTCCCACTGCACTCCTGGGTGACAGAGTAAGACTCCATCTCAAAAAAAAAAAAAACTCGGCAGTTCTCTAGAATTTATGTTAACATTTTCATGTAATGGATAAGAAATCTTCTATATAAGATCAAGGAATTGTGTTTGAGGGGAATATCAAATTAAAAAGCTTTGTATTTATAAAATCTTTTTCATTTTAGGACTTGCAAAAGCTTATGTCACATCAAAATCAGAATTTACAGCAACCCAGGGGCTCCCAAGCATGGGTCCTGAGCTGCTCACCCTCCAGCCAGGACCAGCACAAGCACAAGTACCACTTCCAAAAGACCTTCACAGTATCTCAGGCAGGAAACTGCCGGATCATGGCATACTGTGATGCTCTGAGCTGCCTGGTGATATCACAGCCTTCTCCTCAGGCCTCTTTTCTTCCAGGTAAAGAGTCTAGAACCTCAGCTTTCATGTTCTTTATTAGACTCCATGTGTTTATTTCCTTGCTCTTTTGGAAAATTCAAGACTCAAGGCTCACCAAATCACCTTTCCCTCTCAGTTCCTTGTTAATGCAAGTACCCCAGGGTGCAGCAAAGATGTCTTTACTGTCTATTAACTTCATTCTGTAAATTTATTAACCAAGAGGGTAGAAATACTGATAACCATGACAAAGCAGATGGTGAGGTCCTTGGAAGTGTAGGTTACTGATAGAGTCCAAGAAGTCCTATTCAACTTACAGATTCTTTTTAGACTGGAAATGTTTGACAGAACACTACCCTAGGGGTAGTTCAAGGTGAAACAAAATTTAACACTTATTTTCAGTAGTGTTCAAGTTAACAATTTCCAAATAAGAGAGTTTAAGGAGTACACTGACTATTAATGCTAGATTAATTTTCTCTCAACATATTTTGTGCTTTTTGGCCGGGCGCGGTGGCTCAAGCCTGTAATCCCAGCACTTTGGGAGGCCGAGACGGGTGGATCATGAGGTCAGGAGATCGAGACCATCCTGGCTAACACGGTGAAACCCCGTCTCTACTAGAAAATACAAAAAAAACTAGCCGGGTGAGGTGGCGGGCGCCTGTAGTCCCAGCTACTTGGGAGGCTGAGGCAGGAGAATGGCGTGGACCCGGGAGGCGGAGCTTGCAGTGAGCTGAGATCGGGCCACTGCACTCCAGCCTGGGAGACAGAGCAAGACTCCGTCTCAAAAAAAAAAAAAAAAAAACAAACATATTTTGTGCTTTTTAAGCTTTATTTTAGGTTTTCTAAATGTTGAAATCCAAGTCTTTTCAAATGCTCAATTAAATCATTTCTAAATCTTGCAGATGTTTCTTTCTGCTGTCTTTAGCATAAGATTTCTGCCAACTGGAAGACTCCTTTGCTTTAACATGGTTTTATAATGGTCCTTTATCCCATCTAAGTTTTTAATAAAAAGATTTGTCATCAAATAGAACCAACAAATTGGAAAAATAACTATTTTCTAATGTTCCCCAAATTGGGAATGTGTTCTGTTCTTTTTTTCTTTTTTTTTTTTTTTTCTTTTTTTTTTTTTTGAGACGGAGTCTCGCTCTGTCGCCCGGGTTGGAGTGCAGTGGCCGGACCTCAGCTCACTGCAAGCTCCGCCTCCCAGGTTCCCGCCATTCTCCTGCCTCAGCCTCCTGAGTAGCTGGGACCACAGGCGCCCGCCACCTCGCCCGGCTAGTTTTTTTTTTTTTTGTATTTTTAGTAGAGACGGGGTTTCACCGTATTAGCCAGGATGGTCTCGATCTCCTGACCTCGTGATCCGCCCGTCTCGGCCTCCCAAAGTGCTGGGATTACAGGCTTGAGCCACCGCACCCGGCCCTGTTCTTTTTTTCTTAACGTGTCCATTCCAGTCCGCTTGATAGTGTGCTGGTGCTGATTTGTCCTTGTTCCCCTTAATGATTAACTTGGTGTATATTTCTGTTACCTTGTTGATTTTTTTTTTTCTTTTTTTTTCCTTTTCTTTTCTTTTTGAGATGGAGTCTCGCTCTGTTGCGCAGGCTGGAGTTCAGTGGTGTGATCTCAGCTCACTGGAACCTCTGCCTCCTGGGTTCAAGAGATTCTCCTGCCTCAGCCTCCTGAGTAGCTGAGACTACAGGTGCATGCCACCATGCCTAGTTAATTTTTGTATTTGAGGGTTTTAACATTTTGGTCAGGCTGGTCTCAAACTCCTGACCTCAGGTGATCCACCCATCTTGGGCTCTCAAAGTACTGGGATTATAGGCATGAGCCACCATGCCCAGCGACCTTGTTGATTTAAAGCCTATACCTGCACCTGCACCCACCCCCACCCCTTGCTTTTTTTTTTCCCCCTCTCTGGCTGTCCTAATTCTGCTGGAAGAAAGTGCAATAAGCCACGTACTTGGTTCCCTGGAGAAGCTGAAGCTGTCTTGAATCTAGGATTTGATGCATTTTTAAAGAATTTAACTCAACTGGGCACAGTGGCTCATGCCTATAATCCCAGCACATTGGGAGGCCAAGGCGAGAGGATCGTTTGGGCCCAGGAGTATGAGACCAGTCTGGGCAACATAGTGAGACTCCATCGCTATTAAAAAAAAAAAAATTTTTTTTAACTAGGTTGGTGTGGTGGCACACCTCTCTGGTCCCAGCAACTTGGGAGGCTGAGTTGGGAGGATCACTTGAGCCTAGGAGATCAAGGCTGCTGTGAGCCGTGATGGTGCCACTGTACCTTAGCATTGGTGATAGAGTGAGACCCTGTTTATATATATAACTTAGTTAAAAATAAATGTTATAGCCTAGTAAGAGAACAGAGTAACAAATAGTTTTCAAAGGTTATTGGTTTTTGTTGGTTATTTTTACCCCTTTCGGGAATGTGGGTACTTGAATTGTCATCGGTCTCATTTCAGACAGATGTGACATATCTTGACTGACATATTATTTATTTTCATTCTCTATTGTTCACTGTTCCTTCTGCATCTAGAGTGTGGTTCTAGTGAAATATTCTCTCTCAACAGCTTTATTGAAGTATAATTGACAGTAAACTGTACATATTTAAAGTATACAATTTGATTACTTTTCACATATGTAATACACCCCTGAAACCATCACTACAATCAAGATAACTTTACTTTTTTTTTTTTTTTTTTTTGAGACGGAGTCTCGCTCTGTCACCCAGGCTGGAGTGCAGTGGCCAGATCTCAGGTCACTGCAAGCTCCGCCTCCCGGGTTCCCGCCATTCTCCTGCCTCAGCCTCCCGAGTAGCTGGGACCACAGGCGCCGCCACCTCGCCCGGCTAATTTTTTGTGTTTTTAGTAGAGACGGGGTTTCGCCGTGTTAGCCAGGATGGTCTCAATCTCCTGACCTAGTGATCCGCCCGTCTCGGCCTCCCAAAGTGCTGGGATTACAGGCTTGAGCCACCGCGCCCGGCCAACTTTACTTTTTTTTTGACACAAGATCAAGTTATATCTCCCAGGCTGGAATGCAGGGAGGGGTGTGATCTCAGCTCATTACAACCTCCACCTCCTGGGCTCAAGTCATCCTTCCACCTCAGCCTCTCGAGTAACTGGGAGTACAGGCTCGCCCCACTATGCCCAGCTAATTCTCATATTTTTTGTAGCGACAGGATTTCACCATATTTCCCAGGCTGGTCTCGAACTCATGAGCTCAAGCGAGCCATCCACCTCAGCCTCCCAAAGTGCTGGGATTCCAGGCATAAGCTACCACGCTTGGCCGTGAACATATGTATTACCCCAAAAGTTTCCCTATGGCCTTTTATAATCTCACCTGCCCCTCCCTCCTCTCCCATCCCCGGCAGTCACTGCTTTTTGTCACTACAGATGAGTTTGCATTTTCTGGAATTTTACATAATTGGAATCATACAGTGTTAACCATTTTTTGGTCTGACTTCTTTCTCACTGCATGATTTTTTATTGTAGTATATGTTAGTAGTTAATTCCTTTTTAATGGATAGTATTCCATCATACCTGTATACAGTAGGTTTGTTTATCCATTTACCTGGACGTTTGAAATGGGTTATACTTTTTCTTTTTCTTTTTTTTTTTTTTTCCTTCTTTTCATTGTCATGAGGCAAGCGTGGGTTGTACTCTCTTTTCTCTTCTCTCTTCTCTCTCCCCTCTCCCCTCTCCTCTCTCCTCTCTTCTCTCTTCTCTCTTCCTCTTCCTCTTCCTCTTCCTCTTTCTCTTCCCTTCTCTGACAAGTTTTGCTCTGGTTACCCAGGCTGGAGTGTAGGGTGCAATCTCGACTCACTGCAACCTCCGCCTCCCAGGTTCAAGCGACTCTCCTGCCTCAACCTCCCGAGTAGCTGAGATTACAGGAACTTGCCACCACGCCTGGCTAATTTTTTGTATTTTTAGTAGAGACAGGGTTTCACTGTGTTGACCAGGCTTGTCTTGAATTCCTGACCTCAGGTAATCCACCTGCCTTGGCCTCCCAAAGGTTTGGGATTACAGAGGTGAGACACCACGCCCGGCCTGGGTTGTACTTTTTTAAATAAATCATAGGCCGGGCGCAGTGGCTCATGCCTGTAATCCCAGCACTTCGGGAGGCTAAGTCGAGCAGATCACTTGAGGCCAAGAGTTCGAAACCAGCCTGGCCAATACAGTGAAACCCCATGTCTACCAAAAAATACAAAGTTAGCCGGGCGTGGTGGCGCGTGCCTGTAATCCCAGCTGCTCGAGAGGCTGAGGCAGGAGAATTGCTTGAACCCAGGAGGCAGAGGTTGTAGTGAGCCAAGATTATGCACTGCTTTTTAGGCTGGGCGACAGAGTGAGACCCTGTCTCAAAAATAAATGAATAAATTATAACACTGGAGAATTGTCGTTTGACCAGCTGGTTCCCAGGGACTTATATGCGAAGAAAGGTGGACAAAGAAGCTACTTGAAAAAGTAGTTTGCATTGCCCTAGGTTCACTTTCAGTGATCTGTTTCATACTATTTTGCCTTTGGCAGGCTTTGGTGTTAAGATGTTGAGTACTGCCAACATGAGAAGCAGTCAGTACATTCCGATGCATGGCAAACAGATCCGTGGACTGGCTTTTAGCAGTTACTCCAGAGGCTTGCTACTCTCTGCTTCTCTAGACAACACTATTAAACTGACCAGGTGAGTGATTTGGGGAGGAAGATGGAGACTGGGCTGTTTGGTGTTGAGTAGCATGGAATTAGTATCAGTGTTATGATGACCTTAGCTCTTTTTTTTTGGTCTGAGACTGTGTCTTCTGAGATCTATTTAAAATACATTGCTTTTAGAAGTGGGCACAGCAGGTTACAAAACTGTGTTTCTTATTTCTTTAAAATTATGTATATTACAAAAAATGTCTTAAGCATATTTTAAGGAGATGAGAATAAAACTCTAAAGTTGGTGGAGGCCAGCCGTGGTGGCTCACACCTGTAATCTTAGCACTTTGGGAGGCGAGGCAGGCGGATCATCTGAGGGTCAGGGGTTTGAGACCAGCCTGGCCAACATGGTGAAACCCGTCTTTACTAAAAATACAAAGATTAGCTGGGCATGGTGTCAGAAACCTGTAATCCTAGCTACCAGGGAGGCTGAGGCAGGAGAATCACTTGAACCTGAGAAGTGGAGGTTGCAGTGAGCCAAGATCAAGCTACTGCACTCCAGCCTGGGTGACAGAGCAAGGCTGTGTCTCAAAAAAAAATAGTAAATGAATAAATACATAAATAAATAAATAAAATTTAAAAATAAAGTTTGTGGAATGACAGGATGGAGGGAGCTTTGGTACCTGACATCAGAGTCACCATTCTAGGTCGATACTGTTTACTCCTAGTCCTGGCCTGTTTCTCTTAGTCCTGGTCTGTTACCTGGACAATTGTGTATAACAGAGATGTTCACCAGGCACTCACTGCCCTTGGGTACCATGATGACTTCTTTTATACCCTTACTTAGTTACAGTGTTTTATCTGTCACATGCTCTGTGAGTACTGTGAACCAGATGTGAGTGTGCTCCATGCCTTTATAAGTATTGTTTTAAAAATAAGGTAGAAAAATGTTACATACCAAAGTGTTGGTTGGATTATTATTTATTTATTTATTTATTTACGTATTTATTTTTGAGAGAGAGAGAGAGTCTTGCTCTGTCACCCAGGCTGGAGTGCAGCGGCGCAATCTCGGGTCACTACAACCTCCTCCTCCCGGGTTCAAGTGGTTCTCCTGCCTCAGCCTCCCGAGTAGCTGGGATTACAGATGCACGCCACCACACCTGGCTAACTTTTGTATTTTTAGTAGAGATGGGGTTTCGCCATGTTGGCCAGGCTGGTCTCAAATTCCTGACCTCAAGTGATCTGTCTGCCTCAGACTTCCAAAGTATGGGATTACAGGCATGAGCCACCATGCCCAGCCCCTTTAATTTATTATTTTACTTCTTTACAACTCAAGAGGAAAACCTGTGACCCCCAAAACAAATGTTATGGAATTTAAAGGAGTTACCTGGGCAGATCCTAGAAAAAATAGGAAATCCAGATAGTTTGGTTATATGAGTGTGTTCTCGGTAAGGGTTAATGATCATTTAAATGATAATCTTTACATCTTTGTCATGTATTTGATTTTCTTAATGCAGTTGTAAAAGTCTTTTGTAACTCCACAGCCTGGAGACAAATACCGTGGTCCAGACTTACAATGCTGGACGTCCTGTCTGGAGCTGTTGCTGGTGTCTTGATGAGACTAACTACATCTATGCTGGACTGGCCAATGGTTCAATTCTGGTATATGACGTGCGGAACACGAGCAGTCATGTGCAGGAGTTAGTAGCTCAGAAAGCCAGGTAGGGAGCCACTCACTCTTTTCCTGGTGGTAGCAACTGTCTCTTGGCTTATTATTGTGTTAATCGTCTCTTCAGAGGGTGTTACACAGTTGGTCAGAAATCCTTACAGTTTTTGAAGATCCACTTGATCTCACTTGAGAATTAATAACATTCTTGTTAACAAGAGTTTGTATTCATGATGTTTCATATGACAGAGAGTTTTGGTACAAGTATAGCCAGGTTCATAGTCAGTAATCATCTAACATGGCAAAACAGAGTCAGATCTATGTTCAGAACCTAGCTCCACTACTTAGAAGTTGTGTGACCTTAGTTGTGTTTCTTGGCCCATTGTGAGCTTAATCTGTAAAATCTGGTCCATATAGACTTGCTTTAATAGCCACATGTCACCGGGCGCGGTGGCTCACGCCTGTAATCCCAGCACTTTGGGAAGACAAGACGGACAGATCACGAGGTCAGGAATTCTAGACCAGCCTGACCAACATGGTGAAACCCTGTCTGTACTAAAAATTCAAAAAAAAATTAGGCATGCGTGGTGGCGCATGCCTGTAACCGCAGCTACTCAGGAGACTGAGGCAGAAGAATCTCTTCAATCTAGGAGGTGGAGGTTGCAGTGAGCCGAGATCGCACCATTGCACTCCAACCTGGATGACAGAGTGAGATGCCGTCTCAAAAAAAAAAATAGCCACGTGTCTAGCACATAGGAAGAGATCAGTTAAGGATAGCATAATCAAAAGTGATTTAAAACTTCCCTAATCCAAAGCTAAACCAACTTGTTTGAAGATACTGTATTATTATTATTTATCATTTAATCCAGTTGTGAGATAGAGAAGTTTATAAAGTCAGCCCAAGTTCTGAGGATGGATGGCCACCAGCACCACTCTGTTTTAGAATGTGTTGAGCTGCCCTGTATGTATGAAGTTCTCAGAAGGGGAGTAGGGTCTGTGTCCTGACCAAAATGAAAAGTATCTTAACAGATAATTTATGTTTCCAATTGGATATATTAAGAGCAAGGAGAGCCAAACATAAAGATATCACTAAAGTAATAATTATTTACTGAAACCTAGGCCCAAATAGAGTAGACAGTAAAATACGGCAAGGTTTTTTTGTTTGTTTGTTTTTGGTGGTGGTGGTGGTGGTGGTGGTTTTTTATTTTTTTAAGACGGTGTCTCACTCTCACCCAGGCTAGAGTGCAGTGGCACAGTCTTGGCTCACTGCATCCTCCACCTCCCGAGTAGCTGGGACTACCAACATGCGCCACCACACCTGACTAACTTTTATATTTTTAGTAGAGATGGGGTTTCACCATGTTGGCCAGGCTAGTCTCAAACCTTAAGTGATTCTCCCACCTCGACTTCCCAAAGTGCTGGGATTACAGGTGTGATCCACCATGCCCAGCCAAACACGGCAAGTTTTAAAATAGCAAGAAAAAAATACTTGTATGTATTGTTCATTTTTATTTGTGTTTACTTTGATTACCTTTATTGTGACAGGGAAAATGAAATAAAACAGGCAAGTAGACTTTGGCAACTTTGGCATGAACGAGTTCACAGCAGAAATGAGTTCATAGGAACACAGTCTGAAGGAGGATATTTCTGAGAGAATTCTTGGCGCATAGTCCTGGTCATATGCTTGCAGAAGGAAATATAGAAAATCTAAAACAGTCCTGTTTCTGAATTAAAATGTAGCTGCTTTTAGCTGTATTTTAATTGTGGGGTCTGTCATCTACAACTTGGGATCTTTATTTTGTTATGTATATAAGCTTTGTTTCTTTCCTGACTTTTCTCATGTGGCTAAACCCATTTCCAGAAGCTTCACATCAGTCAAGCTTCCTAGTAATTGTGATCTTGTATCCCTTAAATTTCCTAGTTTCTTTTTTTTTTTTTTTTTTTCTTTTGAGATGGAGTCTTGCTCTGTCTCCTGGGCTGGAGTGCAGTGGCCAGATCTCAGCTCACTGCAAGCTCCGCCTCCCAGGTATACGCCATTCTCCTGCCTCAGCCTCCCGTGTAGCTGGGACTACAGGCGCCCGCCACCTCGCCCAGCTAGTTTTTTGTATTTTTTAGTAGAGACGGGGTTTCACCGTGTTAGCCAGGATGGTCTTGATCTCCTGACCTCGTGATCCGCCCGTCTTGGCCTCCCAAAGTGCTGGGCCTAGTTCTTTTTTTCCTTTTCTTTTTTTTTCCTTTTTGTGGAGAACGGGGTCTCGCTATATTACCCAGGCAGGTCTCAAACTCCTAGGCTTAAGCTATCCTACCGCCTCTGCCTCCCTGAGAGCTGGGGTTACAGGCGTAAGCCACCGCGCCCAGCTTTCCTTTTCTTCTAGAGCATCTAGTATCTCCCCTGAAACTAGTTTCAGAATATTATATGATGTCCTTTTGTTTCTACAGAGAGGGTTGCTAATTTTTATCAGATGTCAGAGGATAGTGACTAAAGGTGTTTAACCTCTGTAGAGGTGGGAATGTGCTTCAGGGTTACTGGTAGTGGGGTCTGGAGCCGTCCGAGTTTTGGAATGTGAGATACAGTTTCCTTACTTTCCTTTCAGATGCCCACTGGTCTCCTTGTCATACATGTCCAGAGCTGCCTCAGCTGCATTTCCATATGGTGGGGTGCTGGCTGGAACCTTGGAGGATGCTTCATTCTGGGAACAGAAAACGGACTTTTCTCATTGGCCTCATGTACTGCCCTTGGAGCCAGGGGGCTGCATAGACTTCCAGACAGAGAACAGCTCCCGGCACTGTCTTGTGACCTACAGGCCTGGTGAGTAGTACTGGGGTCTTCTATGGTTTATTTGGGAGCACAGTGGTAGAGAAGAGGGAAGGAGAGTTCGATCCTACCCTTTGGGTGGCTGTGGTACTGCTCACAGACTAACAAGATACGTTGTAGCTCTTGCTTCTACAGGGAGGATGGTGGCTTCAAGCTCCCCCACAGAGCCTGCCTCCCAGCTCCTTACATGTGAGGACTGGAGCATATTCTGCCAGGTACTCCTGGAAGTGAATTAGCCACTTAGGAGCCCCTACAACTTAGAACAGTAGTGGAATGAGGGGGCCAGCTTTAGGTCGTTGAGCCATCTTGAGATCACTTTCATATCTTCTGCCTGCCTCTCACTTCCCCTGAGAGAAAGGTCCAGATTAGGGCAGCCATGTAGTACCCCGGCTGGCATATTGTCTATTCCTCCTTATTTGGGCCGACAAAGGTAAATAAGGGGAAATGGACAACAATGGTTGTGTGGGCCCAGCCAGCTGAACATCTTTGCCTCTGGAATCAGAGGTGGAACCCGTAACAGCAGACTGTGCTTCATTCACAGGTTCTTTCTAGGCTAAGTGTCATGAATCTAAATTCCTGGTAAACTGTACTGATGGTCAGTGTTGTAGGTTTTTTCTTTCTAATGTGGTCTTGAGGTCTCTGTCAGGAGAGTGGCTATAAACTGTAGCCCTGTCCTGCCAAACTCTAGGGAGTTCGTTGTGGGTGTTCATAGTGTACCTTTCACAGGATACTCCTTTGTCCTGGCAGATGGCCTAACACCTGCCTGACTCATGACCAGGTGTCCCTCTCACAGGAAACTTGTTTATACTGGCAGGTACCCTTGTGGTGCTTGTCTGACCTGTGTCCAGTTCATTTCCCTTGAGATAGTGACTCTCTACAAGAGTCCTGATTAGGAAAGACGTTAGGTTCAGGTGTGTTGGTCAGGTGAGACATAAAGGAGGCAATGCACAAAACACAGGAAATAACGGAATCAGCTTACTTGACAGATCCCACAGAGAAGAGGGCAGCGTGCTTCAGGGGCCAGTGGGAAGAAGGGGGAGCCATCCAGGACAGGCCTGCTCCCTTAGGGGTAGGGTAGGGGTGGAGGGGAGGGACAAGTGGGCTATATTTCCAACCTCTGCTCAGGGAAGGGATGTTTTAACTAGACCAAAGTTGACAGGGTACATCTAGGTTTCAGATAATTTATGCCAGTCCTGAAAACAGATGCTGAGGTCACAACTGTATTAAGCAAATTATAACAGTCAGGCAGATGTATAGTCAGAGTTAGTCGTTAAATGCTCACACTTCTGCTAGTTGTGGGTGGGTCTACTCATGTTTTTAAGTTTTGTTTGAGCTGAGAAACATCTCAGTAGCACTTCAGACCCTTTGGCTCTTCGTCATCCCACAGCTCTGCTGTCTCCAAGGGTGTGATTTGCTGTGACTGGTATACAAAGCCTGGGGGTCCTCTTTTGTTCTCTGGCTTTTGTTTGCCTCCCAGCAGAATTTCAGATACATGTTTCCCTTTCTGTAATAGCCTCCTTTCACTTTATAAAAATGTGCAGTCCCAGGGGCTAATGAGGTTCTCACGGGGGGAAGGGAAAAACCTTTTACTGAGACTTCTTAAGAGAGAAATCCCCCAGCAGAGGTCTGGCAGGAGACTGATTTTACTAAAACAGGTAACTCACTCTCAGAATTCTTTTTCTCTTAAGCAAAAAGCTATTGTAGATAACTTGATTCCTAGCCTACGGTTCTGAATTTCACTGATGCTATGATACTGTTCTTTCATTTGTTTTGTAGCTGTTCTTGATGGTTAAGCATTTATGGCTTTTCCGTCCAACTAGGTTGTAAGCGTGTGAGGTTTGGGTACTTGGTTAATTTTTTGTGTAGCATCCCCATGGTGCAGCACTGATTTCTCTGTCCCATAGATAAAAATCACACCACCATACGAAGTGTGCTGATGGAAATGTCCTACCGACTGGATGACACTGGAAATCCAGTCTGCTCCTGCCAGCCTGTACATACATTTTTTGGAGGACCCACTTGCAAACTGTTGACCAAAAATGCCATTTTCCAAAGCCCAGAGAATGACGGCAACATCCTGGTGTGTACTGGGGATGAAGCAGCAAATTCTGCCCTGGTGAGCCTGTTATTTTTTACTTTCATATAAAAAGTAGTTTTGCTTAAAATATTGGTAAGGGAAAACGTGAACATTTTTTTACAGAAGCTCATAAAGCAAAAAAGTGTAAGTTCTGCTCTGTAATCCCACATATCCGCATATGTGTGTATGTGAGGTTGCTTGGTTTACATATGCTTTCCATACTGCTTTGTAGATCTTGACTCACTGTTGCAACCTCTACCTCCTGAGTTCAAGTGATTCTCCTGCCTCAGCCTCCTGAGTAGCTGGGATTACAGGCACCCACCACCACACCCAACTGATTTTTGTATTTTTAGTAGAGACAGGGTTTCACCGTGTTGACCAGGCTGGTCTCGAACTCCTGATCTCAAGTGATACACCAGCCTCGGCCTCCCGAAGTGCTGGGATTATAGATGTGAACCATCGTACCCAGCTGAGATGTTCTTGAACCTGAGTCTAATTAAGTCGTAGAGTAGCACTGTCCAATACAGTCACACTAGTCACATGAGCACTTAAAGTGTGCTTAGTGCCAAGGAAGAACTTAATGTTTTACTTTATTTTTAATCAAGTTAAATATAAACTTATGTGACTAGAGACCACTATATTGTATAGTGCCACTCTAGAAGCTAGCGCTAAGTTTCATTGACTGGAGTTGCAGGGAATAGAGGAGAACAAGTTTAATGATAGCACAGAAAGTATACACACAAGTCCAGGTTGTGGGCGTTCTGTAAGACAGCTGATCCGGCTTCCACAAGAAGTCAATGGCAGAAGAAAAAAGGTGGGATCACAGGCATGAGCCATGACGCCCGGCCCATCCTTTTGTTTTTTTTTTTTTAAACAGATGCATACTTTTTTTTTTTTTTTCTTGAGACAGTCTCGCTCTGTTACCCAGGCTGGAATGCGGTGGCGCAGTCTCGGCTCACTGCCCCCTCTGCCTCCCAGGTTCAAGCAATTATTGTGCCTCAGCTTCCCAAGTAGCTGGGTGCACACCACCATACCCGGCTAATTTTTGTATTTTTAGTAGAGACGGGGTTTTGCCATGTTTCCCAGGCTGGTCTCAAACTCCTGGGCTCAAGCAGTCTTCTCACCTCAGCCTCACAAACTGCTAGGATTACAAGCATGAGCCCCCGTTCCTGGTCACACTTTTTTTTTTTTTTTTTTTTTGAGACAGGGTCTCGCTCTGTTGCCCAGGCTGGAGTGCAGAGGCGCAATCTTGGCTTACTGCAACCTCCACCTCCTGGGTTCAAGTGATTCTTGTGCTTCAGCCTCCCAAGTAGCTGGAACTATGGGTGTGTGCCACCATGCCTGGCTGACTCTACTTTTTAATACTTTAAAATATTTTTCTTTTTTAGGAGACAGTATCTTGCTTAGTCTAGACTGGAGGGCAGTAGTGTGATCATGGCTCACTGTAGCCTCAAACTCCTCAGCTTAAGCAATCCTCTTTTACCCTTTCTTGAGTAGCTGAGACTGCAGGCATGCACCACCACACCTGGCTAATTTTTTAATTTCTTGTAGAGATGAGAATCTTGTTATATTTCCCCAGCTGGTCTCTATCTCCTATCCTTAAGCTGTCGTCCCATCTCAGACTCCCAAAGTGTTGGAATTACAGGTGTGAGACACCATGCCTGGCCAACGCGGTGGCTCACTCCTGTAATCCCAGCACTTTGGGAGGCCAGGGTGGATGGATCACGTGAGGTCAGGAGTTCAAGACCAGCCTGGCCAACATGGTGAAACCCCATCTGTACTAAAATAGAAGAAAATTAGCGGGGTGTGGTGGCAGGCACTGTAGTCCCAGCTACTTGAGAGGCTGAGGCAGGAGAATCGCTTGAACCCAGGAGGCAGATGTTGCAGTGAGCCAAGGTTGCGCCACAGCACTCCAGCCTGGGCGACAAGAGCGAGACTCTGTCTCAAGAAAAAAAAAGGTGAGTTCCATGAGGGCAAAGACAGGGACTTTATTTTTAATTTACCTTTCTGTCCCTAGAAGAGCCCGACACATAGATTGAATGAATGGAAGCTGGGCTTTATTTTCAGATCCACTTACAGGTAGACTAATTGCTGATTACAGTAGGTGAGGCTGTATCTGAACCATGTCAGGTGTGCTGGCTTTGAGCAACTTTGTGAAGGTTAGGGATGGCCTGCTTTGGTCTCCAGGTAGTGTTCTCTCTGCAGCCTTTTAGACTTGTTTGATGATGAAGAAAGGAAGTCCCTTCGTGTACTGACTGGGTCCTGAACCTTCCCTCTGCTTGCGTTCTTTAGCTGTGGGATGCTGCCAGTGGCTCGTTGCTCCAGGACCTACAGACCAATCAGCCTGTCTTGGACATCTGCCCATTTGAGGTGAACCATAACAGCTACTTGGCTACCTTAACAGAGAAGATGGTCCACATCTATAAGTGGGAGTGACCGTGGTCTTGAAACCTTGAAGGCCTGCTGCTGGTTAAATGTTGTTTGCTAGCACCTAGCAGTCCCAAGCAAGATCCCTGTTTATTGTCTGCGGCCTAGAACATTGGGGATCATGGTTTGTTTGCATTAATATGATTCTAGGACTTTGGGTCACTGAGACACTACAGATTGTGTATCTGTTATGTCCACTAAAAGAGTAATTGATGGGTACTTTATCTACATTATCCATTTTGGGTTTAAAGCCTTCATTTACCATTATTGTATGTTGGAAATTCTTATTTTCTTTATTTTCTATGTGACTTTCTGGACCTTAGAGAGTGTCCTCTCATCATCTAGGATGTAAGTAGGCATCAAGCATTTTCTGGGGGATATGACATCCCATCTGAGTTGTCCTGTTACTTAGGTATCCTTGAAGGGACTAACCATTGTCTTGATACTGATTTGATGCAACATAGATGTAAAAGAGTATTACTCAGTTGAACACAAGAGGGCACTGTAAAATCTTGTGTCCGGTTTATTTCTGATGTTGAAGGCTGACAATCTTTTAGTAACTTGTCTCATTGCCACAAAAGTGTGTGATAGAGCACACCTGGGTGTGCCTTGCGGCAACAACACTTGTGTTCCAGGTGTGAAGTGATGGGACATTGGCAGGCCCAGTGATGGAAGCAGCTAGTAAACTATTCTCTTTGCTGATACCTAGTGCATTAAGTTTATTGCTTTGTGAAAGGTAAGGAAAGAGGCCAGTTGTTTGAGTGGTGGGGAAAATTTTGTTTTTTCTAGCCAGCTTAGGAACTCAGGATTGGTTTTATCCAAGCTAGTGCTTTGAAGAACACTATCTCTTGCCAGGAAAAGATGAGTGTTAGGTCAAAGGTTTTACTTGAGTCTCCCCTAGATATCGGGAGAAAAGACATAAGAGAATTTACAAAAGCTATTCAGACTGCTATTAAAAACATGAGAAGAACTTGTCTCCCATTTTGAGAGAGTTCCTATCTAAATAAAGCCAATCCCTCAGACTGAGGGGCTGTTCTTAAGTGTTCTTTATACATTCCAGGTAAAGCCTTCCCCATGTGAAGCTGATGTTTGATTCCACTTTCCTCTGATTTGCCTCCCTAACCTTTTCTAAGGCTCAGTTTGTATTTCTTTGACTTGCCTCAGACTACTTGACCAAACCACTGTCCACAACAGAATATGCTTCAAGATGTGGGCAGGTCAGTGTCCTGTTCATGGGAGAAAATGGCTAACAATCTGATTTTCTCAAATGATTGCTGAAGAGTTGTTGCCGTTTTTATTATAAACACTTCTGACCTGTCAATTCAAGAGCTGTTTCTAGGATCTTTCTCTCCAGCAAGGGGTTGTTGCAGTAGATTTCCCCAGAGTTCCAAGTTTTAGTTTTGCCTTTTAATGACCCTTTAATATTTTAGGACATAATTTTTTTCTTTTTAAAATTTTTTGTAGAAATAGATGTTTCACTATGTTGTCCAGGCTGGTCTTGAACTCCTGGCCGCAAGCAATTCTCCCGTCTCGGCCTCCTAAAGTGCCAAGATTATAGGCATGAGCCACTGTACCCGGCCCCTATTTGAAGACATATTTTGTAAAAGCTAGCTTCTAGAACCTGAGAAAAGCTCTTTTCTCCAAGGAGATATTCCTTTTGATATGTTAATGATTAATGATTAAGAGTGGCTGCCCAGGCCGCGAGTTTCAGCGGCAGAATAGGATTGGAATTAAAAAGCAGAACTCATCTGGTTTCAGCAGATTGCCACCAAGAGGATGCAGGTGGTCAGGCCCCGACTGGCTTTGTCTTTGGCCCTGGGCAGGGTTAGGATTTCACTTGCTTTGAAGTACCTGATGCTGATTGATTCCCCTAAAAGTAGGAAGCAAGAGACTTAACTATGAGGGACATTAGGTGAATCCTAAGTCTCACCAGTCCTTGCATTAGTACATTAAATTTGGATATTTTGGAAGCAAATTCATAGGACCGTGACTGATTTCTCCAAAGAAAAAAACCTTGTCCAGCCTCACCAACATGGTGAAACCCCATCTCTACTAAAAATACAAAATTAACTGGACGCAGTGGTGAGCACGCCTGTAGTCCCAGCTACTCAGGAGGCTGAGGCAGGAGAATTGCTTAAACCTGGGAGGCAGAGGTTGCAGTGAGTCAAGATCATGCCACTGCACTCCAGCCTGAGTGACAGAGCAAGACTGCATCTCAAAAAAAAAAACCTTGACGCCATTCCCAATCCCCATCGTAGGACATCACATTTATAAATCCAGGCTTTAGTCTTCTGAGCTCCACCAGGCTCTGCCCCACCATATTCCTTTGTCACTACCTCTAAGGTTTTTTCTCCACTTGAGGATTTGGAGTTAAACGAACTCAAAATATCTTGTCATTGTATATATTCTTGCCCCTGCTTTGAAAAGAAGGCAGTGGGAACTCTGTTTATACCCTGTTTTAATGTTTCTGTTTTATGTTTTAATGTTAATATGAAAATAAAGAATTTGCTATGTATAGTGGCTCCTAGTGCCTTTTGTCTCTGACTTCTAGAGGCAGGAACATGTCTGCCTCTTGGGAGAGGGATATAATCCCAACCCGGTAAATTTCTCTCTTTTTTTTTTTTTTTTTTTTTTTTTTGAGACAGAGTCTCGCTCTGTAGCCCTAGCTGGAGTGCAGTGGTCCCATCTCGTCTCACTGCAAACTCCGACTCCTGGGTTCAAGAGATTCTCTTGCCTTAGCCTCCTGAGTAGTTGGGATTATAGGCGTGCGCCATCATGCTCGGCTAATTTTTGTATTTTTATTAGAGACAGGTTTCAGCATTTTGGTCAGGCTGGTCTCGAATTCCTGACCTCGTGATCCGCCTGCCTCAGTCTCCCAAAGTGCTGGGATCACAGGCATGAGCCACCGTGCCTGGCCTTCTTTTTCTTTTTTTTAACTGAGTCTCTCTCTCTTGTCCCAGGCTGGAGCGCAGTGGTTCAGTCTCAGCTCACTGCAGCCTCTGCCTCATTCCTCCTGAGTACCTGGGATTACAGGTGCCTGCAACAATACCTGGCTTACTTCTCTATTTTTAGGAGAGATGGGGTTTTACCATGTTGGCCAGGCTGGTCTCTAACTCCTGACCTCAAGTGATTTGCCCATCTTAACAGCCTCCCAAAGTACTGGGATTACAGGCAAGAGCCACCTCACCCAGCCATAGATTTTCTCTTTTTCACACTAATAAAGTGGTTGAGGCTTTTGCTTGCAGTTCTGTTTTGCTATTGCCAATGGAAAGTGATATGTTTGCCTCTTAACCCTGTGTCCTGGCCGTGTGGCTCACTCCTGTAATCCCAGTACTTTGGGAGGCAAAGGTGGGCAGATCACCTGAGGTCAGGAGTTCAAGGTCAGCCTGGCTAACATGGTGAAACCTCGTCTCTACTAAATGATACAAAAATTGGCTGGTTGTAGTTGTGGGCGCCTGTAATCCCAGCTACTCGGGGCTGAGGCAGGAGAATTGCTTGAACCCAGGAGGCAGAGGTTGCAGTTAGTCGAGATCACACCACTGTACTGTAGCCTGGGTGAAAAAGCGAGACTCCGTCTCAAAAAAAAAAAAAAAAATGCCCTGGTCATGTGTCTATTTAGTCTGTTTACTCTCAGATCTAGGGATCTACATTTCCCAGACTCTTGCCTGCTGGCTTCCTGCTTGTTTATTTGAATCCAGGAGACTGTAAAGTGGGAGGAAGGGAGAAGAGAGGACTTTTGTTTCCTTTATTTCTTCTAGTCATTGGCAGCACTTCAGACCATGGCAGCAGCAGTGGGCAAGCATGGGTTTCAGGGTTCCTGCTCAGCACAGTTCTGGCCACCTGCCTCAGTTTCTTTGTTCTGTTTGAGTTCAAGAATCTTCGTTGCCATAAATCATGGTGCTCTGCAATTAGGCTGGAAAGGCTGAAAATGTTTTCCAGTTTCTAGCTGAATAACAAATGGAGTATACTGGATTCCAGGAGAACTGAATCCATAGGTATAAGCTTACTAACTTCATGGAGCCTGATGCTCTAAGGGACAATGACAGAGGTCCTAGGATAGAAGTAAACCCCAAATTACAAAACCGAACACCATTGTTTTTGTTTTTCACAATACCCTCCTTTTTGTTTTCCATGTCAGTGATTGAGTATAAGTGAAATTCTGAAAAAAATTTTTTATAAGAAATGGGGTCTGACTGTCACTCAGTCTAGAGTGCAGTGGCACTGTCCTATCTCTGCATCCTCAAACTCACGGGCTGGGGTAATCCTGTCTCCTCAACCTCCTGAGTAGCTGGGACTGTAGTTGTGGACCACTCTGCCCAGCCAATTTTTTGTTGTTGTTGTTGTTTTTTGGTAGAGACAGGGGTCTTGCTTTGTTGCCCAACTGGTCTCAAACTTCTAGTTCAAGCAATCTCCTCCCGCCTCTGCCTCCCAAAACATTGGGATTGCAGATATGAGCCACCATGCCTGGCCAAAATTCTAAAAATAGACATTTGTTTGTCCTTGTTCTTAGTCAACATATGTTTGTTGGTAAAAATCTCTGCTGTTTTATCTCTTTATAGTTTAATATATTAAGTAATGACTTAGTAAATATGTATTACTAATAAGTAATTCTTAATGTTGTAGAATACGTATTATTATTCTATCTTACAGGGGAAGAAACAGGTTAAAAATCCTAATAAAGGCTGGGTGCGGTGGCTCATGCCTGTAATCCCAGCACTTTGGGAAGCCGAGGAGGGTGGATCACTTGAGGTCAGGAGTTCGAGACCAGCCTGGCCAACATGGCGTAGCCTCATCTCTACTAAAAATACAAAAATTAGCTGGGCATGGTGGCCAGTAATCCCAGCTTCTTTTTTTTTTTCTTTAGATGGAGTCTCGCTCTTTTGCCCAGGTGCCTGTAGTCCCAGCTAATCGGGAGGCTGAGGTGGGAGAATGGCATGAACCCGGGGCGGGGCAGAGCTTGCAGTGAGCTGAGATCGCGCCACTGCACTCCAGCCTGGGTGACACAGCGAGACCTCATCTCAAAAAAGAGAGTGGCAGGGCTACTGATGCAGGCCCATTTCTGGAAGACTCAGTGACAGGTAACTTTTGCATGAGGAGTGTCCTATGGCCTTGGCCAACTTTCTTTTTTGTTTTTTTGAGATGGAGTTTCACTCTTGTCTCCCAGGCTGGAGTGCAATGGCGCGATCTTGGCTCACTGTAACCTCCGCCTCCCGGGTTCAAGTGATTCTCCTGCCTCAGCCTCCCGAGTAGCTGGGAATACAGGTATGCATGCACCACCACACCCGGATAATTTTTTTTGTGTTTTTAGCAGAGACCGGGTTTCTCCATGTTGGTCAGGCTGGTCTTGAACTCCCCACCTCAGGTGATCTGCCCACCTTGGCCTCCCAAAGTGCCGGGATTACAGGCGTGAGCCACTGCGCCCAGCCTTGGCCGACTTTCTTAGAAATGAATTTCAGTTTAAGATGAGTCTTAGATGTTTCCACCGAATCCTCCTGTCCTTCCTTCCCTCCCTTTGTACTTCACACAGTGTTGGACCTGCATCATGGTCACATGGCTCTCTCAGCCACCTCATTTTTCCTACAACTGTTGCCCCTAATAAATTTATTGCATAGCTAATCCCTTTTTGTTGTCTGCTTCCTGGCAGACCTGGACTCACACAAGTAGTGCCAGGAGTGTTCCAAGAAAACAGGTGGTAAGACGGGCTGATTGGGGCCCCAGAATAATAAAGACCTGGTGGCAATGTTTAACTGCCAGAAGCCAGGAGACCACAATTACCACCATTACCAGCAAGATCAAACGAGATGACCAAGGGCCAGATGTGGTGGCTCATGCCTATAATTCCAGCACTTTGGGAGGCCAAGGCAGGAGGATCACTTGAGGTCAGGAGTTCGAGACTAGCTTAGCCAATATGGTGAAACCCTGTCTGTATTAAAAATACAAAAATTTGCCAGGTGGGGTGGCTCATGCCTGTAATCCCAGCACCTTGGGAGGCCAAAGCAGGAGGATCACGAGGTCATGAGATCGAGACCATCCTGGCTAACACGGTGAAACCCCATCTCTACTAAAAATACAAAAAATTAGCCGGGTGTGGTGGCACACACCTGTAGTCCCAGCTACTCGGTAGGCTGAGGCAGGAGAATTGCTTGAACCCAGGAGGCAGAGGTTGCAGTGAGCCGAGATGGTGCCACTGCGCTCCAGCGTGGGTGACAGAGCGAGACTCCATCTCAAAAAAAATTAATAATAAAATGGCAACCAAGGGGTCTTGATGAGCGGGGAGTATAGAGATGGTTAATAAAGGATAACATCACCCAAGACCAGCAAGGGAA